CTCCGGAGCTGTTTCTTGCTAACTGTTTTGAAAGTGAGGTCCCGAGTCTTTTGTTCGCGACCTGTTTTCACCGATAGGTTACGGTTTCATGTGGTCCTCATTTGAGGGGAGGCTTCTTAATGGGCTCATAAGGCTTCGCAAACGGTTCTTACTATTTGGCCCATTAATTCAGCTAACGGGCTAAATTCGGGCCCAACAAATAATGACAAACCAAATTCTTGTATGAACGAAAATCATACATAATGAAACATAAAAGTTAAAGTTAACGACTAACAATTCTAGAAACGTAAGAAATATTATATATTTAAATTTTTTTAAAATATTATTTAAACTTCAAAACAAATTTATTCGTAATTTAACTTCAAATGTAATGTCAATCATAAACATTAATATTAAACAAAATAAAACTATATATTAGACTAAATATTTGAGTTAAATATTCATATAATAAATAATTATTGTAGATACTCAATAATATATTAATGTGTTTTGGAAACATATTATAAATTTAGATTAAATATGATACAAATATTTTTTTAGAATTTAAAATTTTGGGTTCTTTCGGATATCCATTTAAGTTCGAGTTTGGTTCGGGTAAAATCCATAACCCGAAATATCGTAAAACAAGATTCATTCGGTACTTCTATCAGATTCAGATCGGTTTGGATTTCGTTTTATCGGGTCGAGTTCGGTTCGAATTTTCAGGGGTTTTTTTTGCCCATCCCTAGTTGTACGTGATACAGTTTAGCACATGAGATAGTAAAATCAACCAAAAAAAAAATTGCTAACAACATAGATCCGCGGTTCGTTAAGCAAAAAAAAGATAGAGAACCGGTTCAAATGGATGTTAACTTGAACCAGTCCAAGTAAAAAAAAAAAAGAGAAAATGGTTTCAGTTCAGAATTGAACCCGCTATATACGATCCGGTTTGGTTCTAAATGTATAATACCGAAGACATATATTTCATCAATGATTCAATCACTTTTTTTCTTTTCTTTTGTGAACAGCAATGATTAAATCACTTAAAAAGGAAATAAATAAGGAAAAATTAACAAAATAAACCTCAACTTTCAAAAATAAGTCAAAAAAATCTTCAATTCACAAACACGCCATTTTAACCTTCAACTTCTAGTCAAATACGAATAAATCTCATACTTTCGTTGACCAAGCCACTTTAGTCTCGTCAAAAGTCAACAATTTGATTCCATAAGGTATATATAACAATTGACTTTTAATGAGCCAAAAATAGTTTGATCAACGAAAGTATGAGATTTTTTCTCCAAATTTAAAAGTTGAAGATTAAGCTTATTTCAAAATATCTTAACTAAAAATTGTTTTTTTACTTTTTCTATACATCAGCTGTCGAAAATCTCTTTCACGCATTTAACTTCCTCGTTTTCACTTGTTTCATCCTATATCGAGTATATGTGATTATATTTCTAACAACAATATGTTTAGGGTTTTACCTTTAACTTTTATGTTTTTATTCTTAAAATTGATTTGAACATAAGCACTTAATTATTTTAGTTTATATCTGAATTTACAGTATAATTGTATTTTTAACCAAGTTTTTTATTAAATAATTTTAGTTTTTAATTTATTTAAAAATATTATATCTAAGTTTATATATTTTATTAAGTTAGTCATTCTAACTGATATGAAAATTTTGCTGTAAAAGAAAATAAAACAAAAACAACAATTTTTTAGTTAAGATATTTTTAAGTAAACAATTTTAATTTTCAACTTATAAATTCAGATAAAAACTCTCATACTTTCGTTAACCAAAGCTATTTTGAGTTTATTAAAAGTCAACCGTTAAAATGGCATGTTTGAGAATTGAAGATTTTAATATTTTCAATTTTCCGGAATAGGGATTAGAAAGCTTTATTATCATAGTGGGCTAAATGGGCCTAAGATTCTCAAGGCCTTTTACACTCTTTCCCGCACAAAAGTCAGACTCAACTCTCTTCCCGCCAACTAGTTTCCCGCCAAACATCCACACACCACAGATAGATAAAGCCACTTGCTTTCTTCCCGCGAAATTAAAAAAAATAAAAGAAATCTCTCTCTCTCTCCTCTCTCTTTGTCTCTCTCTCTCTCTTTATCCTTGAGTCGAAGAAGATGACGGAATCAAATCAGATCTCTCGGAAGAGGATGCGATTCTCGTCTTACTCAGCTAGTGAGATCCTCGCTACAAGCAAACCACAGTATCAGAGACACCGCTTCGGCCGAATCGAATCTCACACCGGAGACGGACTGCGTTTCAATAACTCCCCATCAGTCACGGGAAAAATTACTCCGAAAGTTCTTCGCACGTATCCTCGAGTCACCATCAAAGATCTGCGTCTCAGACGCGTGTTTACTCCGAGCTCGATCTGCGAGTTTAAAACCAAGGAACAAATTGAAAAGTATCCTTGCGATTCGAACGGTTAGTTTCTTCGATCTTGTCTCTCTGTGATTACATTGCCCTATGTACATTAACCAAACCAAGTCTAGTTACATGGTTTAGTGAAACCGGCTCTCTTGATTGGCTAATGCAAAAAGAAAAATAGAATAGGTAGATAGATTAATGCGATTTACTCTGGTTTACATAAATCAAACCAAGTTAGTTGCACGGTTTAGTTAAACCAGTTCTGTTATGATTCGATGATGGTTTTTTCCTTCTGATGAAACAGTTGGGAAAGAAGGAACCAAGGCCGATGCTGGTGGATTAGGAAATGCACGAGCAGAAGATTTCCTTAAAACGACGCCGCTTGATTCCGTTAGTGGACCTACAACATGTGAAGAGATCAATGGAACAGTAGTGAAGAAAACGGGTGCTAATGTCTGCAACAAACCGGTATGTTACTTCTTGTGGATTTGGTTACATGCAAGGTTCTCTCATTTTTGTTGATTGAGTATCTGTTCCCATACAGGTTCTTCGTCCATGTTCTCGAGCCAAGATATTCAAGAACCCTGGATCCTTCAGCTACAAGAGACTGCTTCCGTACTTGATGCAAGCTGCAGATGGTACAGCATCAGGCCTATGTTCGAAACCGGAGCAGAATCTTTCTAATGTTAACCAAGGGAATGGTGAAGTTACTGAGGAGGAAGCAAGTGAAATGGTGAAAGACGAATGTCAACTTCCAGAACCCACCAAAGACGTTGCCCAGTCAGTGGACGGACTCATTAGTAAATATTTTGGAAGTGGAAGCACCATCCCTTTGAAGAAGGTTGAATCCACCAAGGCTGTTGCGCAATCAGTGGATGTAATTATCAATGAACATTCAGCTGGAAGTGGAAACACCAGCCCTTTTAAGATGGTTGAACCCACCAAAGTTGTTCCCCAATCAGTGGACGGAGTCATCAGTAAACATTCAGCTGGAAGTGGAAACACCAGCCCTTTGAACAAGGTTATTGCGTCCAGCCCCAACAAAAAAACTGTAAGATTCTATCCATAGAATAGCTTTATTCTATTAGCTTCGTTTCAAGGGTTGTTTCATGTTTGTCATATAAACTTTCTTTATATTCCATTTGTCTAACATGAGAATTTTCTTCTTTTTTATTTGAAGCAGGCATTTTCTAGGCGCAAGTTATTTAAAACACCAGGTTCTGTTAATTACAGAAGAATGCTTCCATATCTCAAAGATATTCAAGAAGACAATCCTTGTAAGCCTATTTCTAGTCCAATAGAACTCTTAGATGCTTATAATCCAAGTTAGTTATACTGCTGCATCGATGCAGTCAGTTGTAAGTGAAAAAGCTTGATTAACTGATACTGATGGCACATTGTCTTTTCTGGTTTTTCTAGGCGTGCTTGAAACAGCTAATCATCCAGATCATAAAAAGAACACAGGGGAGAATACTCCATCACCGATGTTAGTGTCTGAGAATGAAGGGGCAGAGGATATAGTGACATCTAATGTTGCTAGAGAATCAGATACATGCTCTGACGAAGACAAAGAGCTAATTCCGTGTGAAGCTGTTTCTGAGTCCCCAGAAGGGTCTGATACTGACAAGGAACAAGAAACTCAAGTTAAGCATGTCATCACAGACACTGAGAAGAACTTGGGAACTCCTCAAAATGATTTGGGCTCCAAGGTCCAGTTCTCATCTCCTATTGCTGGCTCAACAAGTTCAAGTGAGGTTGCTCTATCTGCATTGAACAACATATATGTCGAAAATCTGGCGGGTGAAGAACTTGTGAAAACAGACGCTAAAAACAAGGCAGAGCAAGTAGAGGCAAACAGTTCGGATTTAACAGCTGAGCTGCTTGATCCTTCTGCTGTATCTGGAACTCCTACCTCCATCTCTCCCTCGAAAGGGATTCTCAAAAGGAGTATAAGAGGTTGTAGAGGGATATGCTCTTGTTTGAACTGCTCCTCCTTCCGTCTAAACGCAGAAAGAGCATTCGAGTTCTCAAGGAATCAACTACAGGATACTGAAGTAATGGTTTTGGATCTAGTTGGGGAAATATCTCATCTCAGGGAGATGTTGGAGAAATATAATTCAGCAGATCACAATGAATCCACCTACAAAATTCAGGTGAGTGCAGAACAAACTTCATAACAGTTCTCTTAGTGGTCCAGTCACACTAATCAGTCTATTGGCTTAGTATCTTCACTTAAGTACCACCATTATTACACAAGTGGTTACAGATTTGTTAAATGGCAATACATTTGTTTATCTTGGAGAGGCTTAGCTGAATCTGAATTTTGTTCATTTAACAGGCTGGAGATGCTGCAAAGAGAGCTTCTGAGGCTGCAGATCTTGCAAAAAGCCGCCTCTATCAGATGAACAATGACCTTCAAGTTCACTGCAGAATCCCCGTGAGTTAAAAAAAATAAATCATTCTGCTTTATGTGAAAGACAACATCTAGTTGAAGCTATTATGAAACACATGATACTCACGCTCCATGTTTTGTCTCCAGAACGAACAACGAGCAAGAGTGAAATTCGCTCACTACGTCCACGAGAAGACCATCCTAGAAGCATCCCAACCTACACAGCTTGACCCCTAGACCACTCTGAAGCAACTAGGAGGATCCTTTTCAACTGTCTTACAGATTATCCAGTTTTCATGTTCTTTTTATTTTGAAAAGTGAAAGGTATTACCTGTCATTTTCATTTGTCACTCTTGAGCAAAAAGAGAAACTATAGATCATAGACCAAGTTGCCGTTAAGCATATAGTCCATGTGAACATATTTATTACCTGTTTTAATTTTTTTACCTTTTCAAAAATCACCTCTTCTTCAATGTACATACGCAAGACTACAAGTCTACAAAAGCATATTTCGTGTGATCTCGTACCAAGTTGCATATAACAAAAACATCGGGTGTTGCTTAATCAGTTAACCCACATGTTTGCCTGTGATCTTTTATGCCTTTTGATTTGGATTGTTATAGATGGAAGTCATATTTGTAGATAGGCCTGACTCATTGGTTTGATTTTTCAGTTTTTTTTTATTTAATATTTTGGATATGTAAATATTTTAATTATTTAAATTATTATAAAACTTAAATTAGTTTTAGTTTGATTTTTTATTTTATTTTCGGTTCAGTTTAGATGACAAAAACTGAAAAATCGGTCCATACCCTAAAAATCTATGTTCAAAATTTGGTTTTGATTGGATAGTTTGACTTGGGTTTAGTTTTATGGTTCTGGTTATAAACAAGAATTATTATTTATTTTTTTCGTAGTTGATCATTATTTATTTTGGAGTCCACCAAGAATTTGAATTTTATTTTATTTTGTTTAGGACACTGTCCTGAGTCCCGTGACACATTTATTGACTCGTAAGAATGAATATGCGCATTGAAACAATAACCAAATCCAATGAAGAAAATCAATTTATTAATAATAGAGCAACAACAAAGAGAATTTGCACTAAACAACAAGACATAGAATCATTGTTTCTTAGACTCTAGACCTCCTACACTCCGGTGGGAACCCTTGAGGAAACCTTTTAAGATCGGAACAATAATCATAAATCATGAAATACTTTTGAACCCATCTCAACCTTCTTCTCCCATAAGCATTAAGCTCATTAGCCACTTGAGATTCACCATTACTGAACGTGCTCTTGAACTTAGGATCACAGAACGACGACCCTGAAGAGACGGTACAAGCGGCAGCGTTGAAGCCTCTGTAGTAAGCTGTGAAAGGAGCCTTGGACCAATCAGTCTTAACCAAACCACCTCTCGTGGCCCAGTCATCAGCGTTCCATAGGCTCGAGTAAATCCTCATTGGTTGCTTCTTGGGAAACGGAACACCAAGTTGCTCTGCGTTGTTGAATACTCTGATTGGAACATTATCCACCATAAATCTGTAACAGAACATAAACAGATGTTAGAGACAAGAAAGAGAGAGAGATTAAAGAAAAAATGTTGAGTTTTAAGATGTTTTTTGAGTTTAGTTACATGATGTGTTGAGGTCTCCAGACAAGAGAGTAAGTGTGGAAGTTCTTGGTTGGGTCGAACCAGAGGTAAAACTGTTGTTCTCTGTTTCCTTTGCCTTGTGCGAAGACATTAGTGTGAAGAACATAAGGCTTCCCTGTCTCGTTACCAAGAAACTCGAAATCTATCTCGTCGTGTGTTGGTCCTTCCGAAGATAACTGCAACATTTTTATTTATTTTGTTAAAAAAAAGAGGAGAAAATGGGTCTTATGTTTTTTAGCGTGTTAATAGAGCTTACGTAGTAAGCAGTGACGGTTCCGGCGGAGTTCCCGGCGACGAGCTTGAGCTGCATGTCGATTCTTCCGAATAAGTATTCTTTCTTGGATTTAAAACCCGACCCGGAAACCCGGTCTAGTGACAGTGAGAGCATTTTGCCTCCACTGAAGATTTTGCCTCTGTGGTCACCCCATGTCAAGTCGAACTCTTCGTTGAAGTTACCGGAGTAAGCAGTTCCGACCATTGTCAGAACCAGAATGGTCACCAACACGGTGAGGTTCAGGAACTGACCCATTTGGGGGAATAGATTATGGAAGGGAAAGTTTATGGGTTTATTTTAGAAATTTTGGAAGAAAAGAGCTTTTGTTTGTTCGAAGAGTAGTGTGATGTGTGAGATGGGTTTTCAAAGGGATATGGTATTTATAGGAGAGGTGAAGCAGTCTTGGGAAGGCAACTATACAGTTGTTTTTCCACTTTTATTATTTTTTGTCAAATTTCTTCAGTTGTTGAGTAATAAGATTAGGTATTTACGAATCTGTAATTTTAAACTACAATTTACACACACAAAGAATAAAACAGGAATTGTCTTTTGGAGTTTGATGAATACTTTTTTGTATAATCTCATTATAGAAGGGAAATTGTACTGCAAGTCCATATAACACAATCATTAAAGATGAATGTATTTTGAGATGTAGATCTCAAAATAAATCACAACTTTGAGATGTGCAAAAGGGACACATTGCTATTAAGAGAGTAAGAGGCATGGTATATTTGTGTGGGTTTTAATCAATGTGTCATGGATAAACAGATAACTAATTGCGTTTTTCTTCTCTTCTACATTTATTTGATTCATTTGTTATTTGCATGAACGTTTTTATCTATATGAATTTAATACGATTCAAATTTTGAAAGAAGAGAGACTGAAAATGGATAAAAATGAAAGCTGTCGAAAAGAAAGAAACAAAAGAAAAGAGAGAGAGAGAGAGGAAGAGTGCGGGACAGAGGAGAGTGATCTATCAGTGAATAGCTGTTGCCAGCTCTGTTTCTTTTCCCATCAAACCTGGAGCCTCCCCTTTTTAATTGTTTTTTTTGCTTTCTCTGATTTAATTAAAGTTTAAATGTCTATAGAGTTTAAATAACGGAAAACTTTATTTTTATTAATCAACAACAAAGAAAAATATGGTTTTGTATGGTATGGCAAGGTAGGAGAAAATTATTTCAAGTGACTTCAAACCTCCAAATATGAATGATTCATTTGTTAGTTTTCATGTCCAGTGCAATATCTGAATGCACTTGTATCCTCTCACACTTGCTTCACGTCACGTATCTCTCACCATTAGTTTTCACCTCTTTTATATGCTGAGATTCGAATTATAAACGCATCTCGTCCAATAACTCAGTAGACTAGAGAGATTTTGAATCGATATATCATATATGGTATATGGTATGTATGCAGATAGAGCCCTTGATTACAATAGGTTTAGAGAGACTTGTATAAGAAGTTATTAGATCTATTCATTTATTTACTCTCTTTAGCTTTCTAAATAAGCTTATGTGTTGACGCAAAAAAAGTAGTAAGAGCATTTCCAAACCCACTCCATATTTTACTGCAAAATGGAGTGGAGAATGGAGTAATGAAGAAACAAAAATCTCATTACTCCATATTTGGAGTAATCACTTTTTTTTTCTTCATCACTCCATTTCCCACTCCATTTTGCAGTAAATTATGGAGTGGGGTTGGAGATGCTCTAAATCGATGATTAAAGCAGTTTTGTAGATGTTAACATAGCTCGTGCTGGACACTAATGTAATCATTTAAAAACATAGAAGATATCACATTGTAATTTCTACATATTTATAAATCTTCAGATCTTGTTCTACTTCTTTAGTATCATAAAAACAACGCGTATCAATAAATCAAATCTCAACAATTATAATTCATAAATCTTGTTAAAAGAAGTAAATACTAATTAGTCGAGACATACACATACCTAAGTTCTAATCAGTTATCCTATGTGGGTGGAAGACAGTATAGTGCTTAATCATTCTTAATCAGTCAAATGCAAATGAGATGCTGTTATTATACTAATCCATCGAAAGATGATTACAACCCCATTCAACTTTAAGGGAATATTCTCATTTAACTTTCCCCTAACTATTCCTCTTTATACAAAATTAAATACAAGTGGCTACCTTAAGATAGAGCAAAACATAATAATGAACTTAAGTTATAACCAACTTCAACATTATTAGTTTTTATCTCATTTATTATTTTTAATTACATTTGCATTTTCTTATGTGCACATGATGAAAAATAAAAACACTGATAAGTTTGTCAGAAAGTAAGTATACTCGATTAATGTATATTACTCCACATTATTATTATTTTGATCAAAGTATTTATATTACTCCACATAAATTTCCTTTTTTTTTGTGTGTACGTGAGGAAATATATAAACCACTGGAAAGTTTTACAAGATTAATAATTAGCCTTGTTGTGTTTAAGGAATCGATCAACCGCTAATTTGTTTCTGTAGTAAAAACTAAAAACCAATCACCAATTATTTGCAATTACTATAAGGTGACGATATTTTTTGCAATCCATTTATTAGATAATCGTAACTTTCTTTCATATTAAGAAAACAAGGAGAATGAAGTTAATTTAGTAAACACTGCTAGTACTAACTCATACTCACAAGTCCAAATAGAAAAAAGTATTATTAATAAGAGCATCTCCAAAAACACACTCTATTTTACAATTTGCAAAATTTTATTTTTGAAGAAGTTTCAATGTATTTTTTTCAAAAGTAAAATTTCAAAATCTAACTTTAAAACTATTTGTATTTTACTCTATGGTCCTTATATTTGTCATAATTAATATAAATTCATATTTTTTTATAAATAACTAGTACATATATGAAAAAACATAACGATAATTAAGAAACATTTACTCTAAAATATCAAACTGCAAATAGAAATACATAACTAAATAATAAACTACAAACAAAATATCACATTATTTCATAAAATTATTTTTATAATACTCCATCTTCAGTTACACAATACTTATTTAGATAATATTTTGGAGATTTTGAAGGTTTCAGAGAAAATTTACCATACTATTAATATTGTTGTAGTATTTAAATTTATGTAATAACTATGCTTTTCATATATCTTTTTAAATTTTTTTAAGTTTCTTTTGTAATATTCGTGAAGTCTAATTTTAGTTTTAAAATAATATAAATTTTATTTTAAGGTTTTATGTATAAAACTTAAATTTATAAACACAAATCTGAAATATTTATAAAATATATAATTCTTAAGGATTAAAATGTTAAATGAGGAACACCATAAATATATTATATAATTAATTGTAAGGATCAAAATCCAAATAAAAAGATGATACTTTAAATTTGAAGTTTTGAGAATTGAAACTTCAAATATGAAATTTCACTTTTTAAAACTTTAAATTTGAAGTTTTGAAGTTTCTTTTTGGAAATCTAATTTTTTTATATTTGATGTTATAAAATATGCTCTAATATGAACGAAAATAACTAAGAGTTAGTGTATCTAGTGCAGTGGAAAATAATTCGATGAAAATAATTCTTTAGATCAGTGTTAATCTATTTGAATAATTAAAATTTAAAAAACTGACACAAACTAGTACATAAACACGTGAAACTGATAACATAGTTCTCATTGTTATAAATCCGACATTAGCCACTATAAATCTTGGGTTTCACTAGTTTATATTGTTTATTAATTCTTGTACAAACCTCAAAGTTATATGCAGATCTTATCTGCACCAAGTATTTGCGATCTAGCGAGAGAGAAGATATATCAAAGAAGATAATAAAAATTTTAAAAACCGTAAATAATGTTCAACATTAAAGCTTCAGTTGGTGACATTAAAATTAGTTGGGAAAAATGAACAAACTTTTTTTTTGTTTGTGAAAGAAAAATGAACAAACTTCCATTTAAAAAAATGAACTGAAAAAACATAATTGAATAGAAAAGAACAGACGTTCCTAATCAAAACTAGAGGAAGACATTTTTACTCTCTCTCTCTAAAATCTTTCTTCTCAATTCTCTCTAAAATTTCGTCCTTTAACTGTTAGCCGCTTAGCTCCGGCGACCGTCATGTCATTTTTCGTGGTCGTCGGAGACCCCCTCCTCTGTTTCTTTTTTTTTTCTGTTTCTCATGTTTTCTCTATGGCTTCTTGTGGTTGCAGCGGAGCTGAGACGTCAAAGTCTTTCTCCTGGTTCAGATCCGAGGCATCTTCAGTAGATATGTGTTGTTCTTGGTAAGGACGAAGGTGTAGAGGACGGCACGTTCCCCTCTCTGCGGTTTTATCCAGATCTGCTCAGTGTTTTTGGTCGGAAAATTTTCTCCTCAGGTCTTGGCGTTTTTCTTGGGTAGCGGCGCGTGGTCCGTCGGTGAGACCCTACAGGTCTCGGATCTGAGTTTCATTAACTCAGATGTCTTTTTCTAGCTTTTTTCCACCGGTGGTCTAAGGTGGTCACGCGTGGAGCTCTCCATCGGTGGTGAGTTCCACTACAAGAAAACAAAGCATTTACTAGGAAATTTTACTAGGAAAATTCTTCCTCGTAAAGTTACTAAGCATTTACTAGGATCTTACGAGGAAAGCAAATTTCCTCGTAAGCTCCTCGAAAACTTACGAGGAAATACTTTCCTCGTAAGACCTTAGTAAATTTACGAGGAGCTTACGAGGAAAAAGTACTTTTCCTCGT